TAGTAGTGGTACTGGTAGTGGTGGTAGTGGTAATAGTAGTAGTGGTAGTAGTAGTAGTGGTACTGGTAGTAGTGGTAATGGTACTGATAGTAGTGGTAATATTAATATTAGTGGTGGTAGTGGTACTGGTAGTAGTAGCGGTAGTGGTAGTAGTAGTAGTAGTAGTGGTGGTCAAAACAAAACTCACCCTCATTAGAAATGTACAATTTGAATGTATCTAGTTTTCAGAGACAAAGTGAAAACAGATTCCAATATGAACTACACAATTTACAAATCAACAAAAAGCAAACTTTGATATCAACCTGTTTTTGTCATCAAGTTTTCCACCAAAATGAGTGCCTATACCAAAAAAACCAAACAAACAAACAACACCAACAAAAAAGGCCACATATTTTTGAGCGCTTTGATTTACTGTGAAGTCCACTGACCTTGACTTGCATGAAGCTTTTTAATTTAGGGGAATCTTTCATCATCATCATGTTGTTGTTGTTGCTGTTTTCATTGTTTTACATAAACGATTTTACATTGTTTTTATTGTTTTACACAACGACACTAGCTTAATACCCAGAACAATATATTCAACACTTGAAACAAACTGTATTTTTGCAAAGGGAGCAGAAAACAGAGTTTGGACTTAGTAGTTCATATTTGCTAGTTGTAAATACCTAGATGTAATATTGGTATAAATAATCATATAGAAATATTAATACTGCACATAGTATAAAAATACCATCCAGGTATCAACAATGCCAAAAAGTGGTTAGTATGTTAGGTATGTTAAGAAAATGCTCCTCTCCCTTTTTTTATTTTTAACTGTTCTTTTTTAAATTTTTTATTTAATAAAAAAAAAATGTATTGTTATTTTGTTTAAACCGAACATGTATAAATCTCAATGTAGACTTTAGCTGTGTTTGTATCCATCCTGGTACACCTGAGTTCACTTGCTTGTCTAGGTGCTTGCATGTGTAATTTAAATCCAGATTATTAGATCAACTTTTCGTTGGTAAAATATGACTACTATCAATCAACACTATTCAGTTTTAAACATTTGTTTTCTCTCTCTCAACCGGTTAAATCAATGTATTATTGTGCTAATCTCTTTTGTGTATTATTTTTCTTCTCCACAGTGGTGGGACTCCACTGACAGTGAGTGGGACCAACCTCGCCACCATTAAAGAACCAAAGATCCGGGCCAAGTATGGGCAGGCAGAGTCTTTCCATGTGAGTCTTCATGTGACCGACATCATTTTTCCCCATTACAAATATATACACTAACAAGCAGGGGCCTATTTAAATGCACAAATATACAGTACATTCACTTTTTATTCTTCAATATAAATGAGCAGATTCACCCAACTCACTGTCTACATTTCAATAGTCTTAACTAATAAGATCATTCAGAAAGATTAGTTTTTAAATACTGGAGCACCTCCATAAACAACCACTTCAGTGTCATGCTCGGTTGATGGCTTTCTTTTGTCCATCTTCTGACATCTAACACTTCCTTAGGCCATGTAGCTTTTCAAATGTCACTGTGCCACATGAGTGTTTGTATAACAAGAAGACAACTCGAGAGACCGCATGTGTGAAACAGAAGAACATCATCTAAAGATAGTCTATAGATGAACTTGTCAAGAACATACATTGGTGACTGCTGTTAATAGTATGTTTGTTGTCAAGGTTAAGGACTGAACTTTAAGCAGCACCAAAGCACTTCAACCTGCAGATAAAAATGTCATTTACTGAGTCAGACAACCTACACAATGCATCCCACACAGGCTTGTATTAATGTGCTGCTTTGTGTTTAAAGGGCCATGCTGATGCTTTTGCATGTTGACACTACTTTATAACAAATCACAATAACTTTTATCTCGTCCTTTAGTTCTATTCTGGTAAAATATAATAATAAATTGGCGATGATGTGAACTATCAAAGTGGACAAAGTTACTATCAACTGTTTTTGTTAATGCGACATAAAAATGGGATCAGTCGTGTTGATCTTACTTCTAACCTACAAAGCCCTCAACAACCTAGCTCCATCTTATATTACAGATCTTATTGCACCATATTTTCTTAACAGAGCAGTTTGATCTCAGAATGCAGGTTTACTTGTGGTTCCTAGAGTTTCCAAAAGCAGAATGGGAGGCAGATCTTTCAGTTATCAGGCTCCTCTCTTGTGGAACCAACTTCCAGTTTCTGTCCGTGAGGCTGACACATTGTCCAGTTTTAAGACTTTCCTTTTTGATAAATCCTATAGTTAGGGTTGGCCTGTTATGCTGCTATAGGCTTAGACTACTGGAGGACAAATCGACCGCATTTCTTAAATTGAATTTACAATTGAATAGTTTTCATTTGATACTATCTTAACATGTTATTCCTGCCATTGTGTATCTATTCCTCCTTCATGTCCTCTCAAACCCAGCGAGTCAAAGCAGATGGCCACTTGTCCTGATCTTGGTTCTGCTAAAGTTTTCTTCCTCATGGGGGAGTTTTTCCTTTCCACTGTCGCCTTCATGCTTGTTCGAGATGAGAGTTCTGTGATGGAGTTCAAAGCAGTCTGCTCCTCAGATAAATAATGTTATTAACTTACTTTTTATATATTTTTAATGTTTCTGTTCAGTGCCCTGAGATGACTTCTCTTGTGACTTGGCGCTATATAAATATACTGAATTGAGTTGAATTTATTTGACAATCTTATTAATCTTAGACAAGATTAATAGATTATTTTCACTTTATGTGAATGAATCATGGAAGCAATTTCAATATTTTGGTTGCAAATTATCTTCAGCATACAAAAAATTTAGTGTATCCCTCTGAGCAGTTGTATATACTGAGGCAAGCCCGATCGTGACATCTTGTATTCATGTATTCTCTAAAGCAATGATCTAAATACTCCCAGGTACAAGCACAGGAGCGGAGCACAATGCCCAGTATTAACAGTTGATCATAAATTTGCAACCGATTTACATTTCCAACAGTTCTAACAGCATTGTACTTTCACAGGGCAATGACTTACAGAAAGTATTGGTTATTATACCCAGCAGGTCCATTTTAAAAGAAAATTGCAGACTGTATTTTGTATTTCTGAAAAGGCTGCAATGCAGCTTTATTCAGTAATAAACTATTTTGGATTCATGAAAGCTGACTATTTAGAAATCAAATTATTTCAGTTTCTTTCAAAGCCCAGTTATAGGATTTTAGAAGAAATGTGTTTTTTAAAGACAATAGATTTCCCACAAAGAATAAAAGCAACAGTTATTACAGCTTATTTCCTTTTTATTGATTTCAGAACTGTACGGTGTACAACAACTCTGTGATGGTCTGCCTCGCTCCTTCAGTGGCTGACTCAGAGCTCAGTTTTTCTGAGATGGGCACCGGCCCGGATGAAATTGGGTTCTACATGGACAACGTGAACGCTCTGGTGGTGGTCAATGAGACATTCAGCTACTACCCAGACCCTGTGTTCGAACCACTGAGTCCATCTGGTGTACTGGAGCTCAAACCCACATCGCCACTAATACTGAAGGTAGGAAACACGCAATAAGGTATTTCTCCTTGTTTTTGTTTTGAATTTTATATTTTTTCCTGACCATTTTTTTTCTTTCTGCTTCTGCTCGTTATTTTATCAGGAGAATAGTCTGAAGATTGTTTTACAATCTGATGTGAATGTTACTTTTGAAGGTTTTTATAGCTATTTTTGTGTAGTTCAGGTGCTTGAAAATACAGTTTTGGGTTGCAACATTGATGTGTTGCAACTACTACCACTTCTTTAATCAAGTGACACATAAAACACAGCTGCATTGCATTAGCTTTGCATTTAGTAATAGATAGTTAGAGGTAGGCATGTTGATAAAATTAAAATGTTTTATACCTGACTGAATCTGTTAAAAGGTTTATTAGCACCTTAAATAAAAGACGCTTTTATCGTACTGCATTTTTATAGACGATACTTTCAAATGCAATCTGATTTGTGATTTTAGATTGTCTATTGACTCTTTTCATTTCAACTTACCTAAGTTTACCACATTTTCTCATATAAGTGTTTGATTAAATCTAGCAATACAATTTTTTTTTAATATGCCCCTATGTTTGCTAAGCCTGGAATGACTGAAAAGGTATAAATTGTTATAATAATAATAATTATTATTGTTATTATTATTATTTAAAATGGTTATTTTTAAATGTAAAGCCCATTGTTTTTTACTTTTATTACAATCCAATCCAGAGCCATAATATAAACAGTGTGTACTGTAATTGCCCGGTCTGTAGAACGCACCTGACTCTAAAGGCTCCCTCAGGCTGCTATACGAGCGCCCATTTGTGTCAAAGCAAAATGTTAATGTGTAGCAGGAAGCTCGGCATTCTGTCAAAATAAAATATTAAAATAAAATAAAAATACATAAATTAGCCGCTCCTGTATATAAGCTGCCGAGTGTAGAGCGTGAAAAAAAAAGTAGCAGCTTTTACACTGGAAATTATGGTATTTGTCATGTTGGATAGTTTATTTTTTATAACATATTTCTCAAAAGTCTCAGTTTTGTTAGTAACAGCACAGCCAACTTTGACTGACTTGCATAAAAACAATCCCTGGCCCTCTAAGTACAAAAAAAAATAAAATAAATAAATGCAACTTTTGAGTGTTTGCTCAAGGTCTCTTAGGATGAAAAGAAATATCTCACTAATTCATATAAAAGCTGAAAGCACATGTCCACACCTTCCAAGGCCAGTTTCTGTCCTTCAGTTACTATCAACAACTTCAATGAATGCAGTTCTCTTCTGTAGCCTCCAGCCCTCTTAAACAACAATCTTTTCAATTTGTGTAATTAATTTGTAGCGCTAGAAAGCCACCGTGGAAGAATACAGGCCTATAGTTCAAGATGTTTAGTTTGAATTGGTTTTAATATTCATTAACAGTGAAATGGACGTTTGTGAAATTAATTGGCATAGTCAGAGTTGTGTAAAGGTGCCATTGTACTATCTATCTATGTTCATTGGAAATCTGTAGACAGTGATTGAAGAAAATCATGAGATGACATGTGGATGTTTTTGAGGGGAACATATCTATACATGCAACACAACTATTGCAATGTTAATTAAATATTAATCAGCCTGCCAATATTAATTAGAAGGCAACGATTCTCTAAAAACTACTAAAGAAACAGAAATGATCATGTACACATCTATTAACTGCTGGCAGAGTGTGGGCTGAAGAAACCTTAATAGAATTTAAAGATCCACTTAATGTAATCAAGAGATAATATAAATATAATTTATTATAGATCAGTGTCACATTTATGTGACATGTTTGCACTGAATCCAGTATCCAGTGCCTTTATCTGCTACATAGATAGAGAATTCCCTTGGCTATCTTTTATGTTATCAAAGAGGGAGTTACGCTGCTTATTTCCATGAAGAGACTGAAAGCAGTGTGACCGTCATAATTTATTTCTTCAAAGATAATTTATTTGCAAAAAAAAAAAAAAAAAAGCATCGCAGTAATTGCCAAATCTCCTGCTTGGCTTGTTGGTGGAACTGCTTACCCAGTGGAAGGGCTGATGAGATGGACAAAAAAAAAAGCAATTTGGAGAGATGGGATGCAGGAGGGTGGCGCTTCTCAGATGCGTGCACTTTGCTTGCCATGCAATTAATTTCTCATCTTTTAGTGTTGGGATTGTTTTTACTTTGGTGTGGGAAACAAAATCAACTGATCCGATTGTTTCTTGAGCACTTTCCTGGGTCCCTATGTGTGTTTTTGAGCCTGTTTCTCCATGTGATACTTCTGGCCTGTAGTGTTATGAGCTGCAACCACCCTGTGTGGCAGTACCTCCATGGCATGCATGGTTTGAAGTCTGCGTGTATGTGTGTGTGTGTGTGTGTGTGTGTGTGTGTGTTTGTGTGTGTGGAATGGCGTGGGCTTGTGTGTGATTGTGAGATGGAATGGGATGCATGTTTACAGGGCTGCAGAGCAGTGCTGGGTGGCAGCAGCCTGCAGAGACGATGGGATTGGAAAAAGGAGTCTGCCTCTGGGTCCTGCTGCTAAATCAGCGGGAGACATGGCACCTATCTCCACTCTTTCTTTCTTTTTTGTCTAGCTCACTAACATATCTTTTTTCTTTCTTTTTGTTTTTTACCTGAAACCATACTCCATTCTTTTCTATGCTATGCTATCTTCTGTTTCTGAATGTTTCCTATATTTCAAAGATCATCCTTCCGTCCATTATCTTTACTTGTTTCTTCCTTTCCGGGTCACGGGGTCACTGGTACCCATGTCCAGAACTGTTTTAGAGGTGGGGTACACCCTGGACATGTCTTAAGCCCATCATGTTTCCATTATAATTTGTTTTATTTATCCTGTTTCCCCTCACTGCATTTTTGTTATGCTGTTTCATTAATTGTATTTTATATATTTTTTCATCATCATTAACTCTTTCATCACTGTCAAAGTGTCAAATCAGGCTTTAATTTATTTGGTATTTATCTATTTAATAAAATACTGAAACTAAAGTTGAAAAAAAAAAAAACCACCTCCATACTGTACATGCTACATTTTATTTACTTGAAAGAAATATATATGTATAATACATATATTTATATTTTACTTGATATATCTGTATTTTAGTTGCATGAAGAGACTTCATAAAGTAAATATTTTGTTGCCCAGTGTAACCACTCTGTCTCGCTGTTCATACGACACAAAAATTATTGAATCTTAAAATGTGAATCTTTCAGTATTATAGATGTTTTTAATAAAACAAACATATAGTCTACATCAAATGAGCTTATATTTTCAATCCTCTCAGGTTAAAGTTGGTGTTTAATATGAATTTAACTACATTCCTGTCGTTTAGCAGAAGTCACAGAACCTGGATAATATTTCTACCCAGCGAGGAGACTTTATACTTTTCACCAGTTGGGTATTTGACCGTATCAAGATTCTGATTATTCTATTTAGTAAAAATATTTAAATTAGATTAGACTTATCAAAACAAAAACAAAAAAGCTACTCTTTAATGTTTAGGTTCAGTTTTTGTATTTGTGCGTGTAGTATTCAGTGTTTTCTGTAGCTGAAAACTGCACTTCTATTCTGAAGCTTAACCAAACAATTTTAGTTGATTCTGATTTTATCAGTGTGTGTGTGTGTGTGTGTGTGTGTGTGTGTGTGTGTGTGGGGGGGGGGGGGGGGGTATTTTGATGTTAATTACAAATGTCAACCTTGTAATGGTGTACCATGTTGACCAGGTCTACCTTGAAACAGAGATGTTCATGTAAAGGCGTGGCTCAGTTAAAAGTATGGAATCTATAAAATGCCATCTGCAGAAAAAAAAAAAAAAAAACGAGGCTTATAGAAATCCATTTTCAGAGCTTTTAATACATTTTTACAAGCCTCTGTGTAATTCCATAAACATAATGAAACGACAACACAAGAACAAGGTTGACAAACGTGTATGCGCAAACTGCAAAACTGAAAGCAGAGTTTATAAAATGAAACAATGTATTTCTGCAAGATCACATTTTTGTTTTACTTTATTGGCAGTAAAGAGGTTCCGTACTTCAAAAATAATGCACCTCAACTCTTTGTTGTATTCCTGTCAGCCAACCTAATAACTATTTATTGTTGTGTTATTTTATTATTGCTCTCCACTTCAGCAAATTTCTACCATTTTTTATTTTCTTCATTAAAATATTTCACTGCGTTTCCACTGTGTTCTTTGAGTTGAGAACATTATAACTACTATATTAAGCTCAAACTAAACTTTATCCTCCATAAATAGTTTAAGAACAAATCTTAATGTAAGTGACTTCTTTTTCTTGTCATTTACAGAAACAAGAGATTTTTATTAAAGAATCAATGGGGAAAAACGAGTCATTATGAAGTTTGCTTTCATCTCAAAAGAAACTCTGTGTGATGCGTTTGACTCCATTAGGTTGAACATTTAATCAGCACGAATAAGTTCAGCTTAAACAAATGTTCCTGTGAAGCTACAGCCTGCAGAAACGAGTTGAGCATCTCTTCTCATTGCCCCCCCTTCTCTGTGTTTAGGGTCGTAACCTGATCCCAGCGGCTCCAGGTAACAGTCGCCTGAACTACACGGTGCTGATTGGAGACACTCCCTGCATCCTGACCCTGTCTGAGAGCCAGCTGCTGTGCGAATGGCCCAACCTCACCGGACAGCACAAAGTCACGGTCAGATCACGACTCCGCCTTCACTCTTCTGCCCCACGTTCTTTCAACATTCCTTAAAATTAATAACAGAAAAATATCAATTTGACTTTCATTTATTTATTGACGAAGACAACGGCTCAGAACGCCAAACGCCACACACTTTCTTGCATAAAGAATTGACGTTTCAAAGTATAAAAACATTTGTTCTAACAGTTTTGACTCCATCTTTCCCTGACATTGTTGAGTTACTCAAATTATTTCATGTTTTTTTTTTTTTTTTCCCCCCTGCTAAATAATTTATTTTAACAGATTCAGGGTATGCTCCAGTGGTCTTGCACTCTAAATCTGCTCTTAACTATATTACACATTAATAATGTTGAACTTAGTTGACTTTAAAATAATCTGTTGCTGAAAATAAGTTCACTTTTGGATCAGGAGCTAGGACGCTGAAATAACAACCTGCTGCCAGAGGCAAAGGTGGAGCAATAATCCAACAATGTTCATCAACAACGTCATCTGGACGGTTTATTTTTTTTGTTGAGACGTTTCATCCTTCATCCAAAGGACTTCCTCAATTCGTGAATCCACTAAACAAAACTGATTCCCACAAACAGCAAACAGCCTCTGCGGCCCGTCCTCTCCCTCGTCAACTCCTCTGATGGATTATTGAGCATGAACTTTGGTGTGGAGCAATCATGTTTTTGCCCATGTCTGTGTGCCTGTTTGTACCTATAGCTCATGAACCGTTGAGTAGATTTCATTCAATAGTTCAGAAAGTAATCGATGGGTTGACGTTTACATCTGATGAGCTTTTGAAGTCAATACAATTCAGGATGGCCTCCACAGCTACTCAACGTTAGCCAACACAAAATTGGCTTCATCAAGGATTTTTATTGATATTGAGCTTTAATGTGGCGTGGTAGCTGACAGTCATTCATACCTCATGCAATAACTGCTAAAAGATCGTGTGAGATTTCACAATATCGCATGAGTTTGCACCTAATTTTATTTTTAAGGTTTGCCCTAACACCTACTGTATAACTCATTTTGCAACACAACATCGTTTTATTTATAATTCTGATGTGAAAGGCAGCAGGCCATATGCATTCCTTTAAAAATGTGGGGCTTTTATTCATTTATGTATTTGTTTGTTTAAAAGCACACACTTGCAGTGAATTAGGAGTATTATTTATTTATTATATAGTATCTTCTACATGATAAATGTGAAGATTCAGACATGTCTGCAGATACAATGTCGTGTTTCATTTTAGCTACTGGGGCAAAGTGTCTTCAGCTGCAGTGCTGGCGTCACCGGCTCTCTGCTGTGAATGCTGCTGGTTTTATATGTGAGAAGTCCTTGTGTTTCACTGAGGTATGATGCTGCAGAGACAGAATCTAATGGGACCCACCTTCACCAAAGTATTTCAGCCGTTCTAAAAATCCACGTTCAACTCTAATCAAACCAACATTCATCTTTAACGCAACTCTCGTTGTCGATTTACAATACAGTAGTCCCTCGCTTATCGTGGTGGGATCCGTACCCAGAAGTCTCGCGATAAGTGGAAAAACCACGAAGTAGGAATGGTAGTACAAGTAGTATTTTATTTTAGTGTGTATATATATATATATATATATATATATATATATATATATATGGATATATGGATTTTAAACCCTTCCCACACTCTTGCAATATTCTAAATAATGTTTCTAAACTCTAAACGCTCTAAAAGAGCACAGCATGTCATGAGCTCAGCTCTCTGCGCTCTTGGCCACGCCCACTTCTCCGCTGCAGAGTGGGGATATGACGCGCTGCAGGAGGAAGCTTCTCCTGCAGCTGTGGGCTGCGCAAAGGTGCAGCAGGTGCTAAATAATTGATTTTAAATAAAAATTCCATGCCGATCGTGCGGCTCATCCATCAATCAGCCAATTGTGTGTCATGTCCAGTCTTGTTTTGAAAAAACGCGATAGAGCGAGGGACTACTGCAACGTAAACTAAAGTCTTTTTCACGCAAGTGAAATTTTACATCACTCTTTTGGGGTTTATACAGCAAATAAACTATTACATATATGTAATTTGTTAAAGTGTTGTCAATTGGTCCGGAAGTTTTTGGCTTGTGCTTATTTGCTCATTGATGCTTTTCCTGCGAAGGAAGTTCAAAACATAATTGTCTGTTGTATGGCACGGGGGGGTGCAGAGGCTAGAGAAAGTGAGCCTGTGATTGGAAGGTCGCTGGCTCAATTCCCCAGACTGACAACATCAGTAACATTATAAGAATCTCATCTTTATTTCATTTATGATCATCTTAGTTTTTATTACTTTTTTACTTCTTGATCTTTAGGTTTCTTCAGAGTTCCTATTTATCTAGACAATGTTAAGGCACTTTATTACTTTGTTTAAAAAGCTGAAATAGCTAAATAGAAAGTAAAAGCCAAAATTAGTTAAACTGTTTATAAAACTGAAATTAGCAAAAATGTTACTTTAAGCTCTAAAAAAGTTAAATGTGGTCCTCTGGACATTCAAAAAAACAAAACAAAGCAAAATAACAAAAAAATGTAAATAATGATTTTTCTACCTGGATTATTGACCATGCATCAGGATACTTTAAGCTAAAATCAGGAAAACTAACTAAAATCTAAAATTGTCAAAACAATAGCTTAAAAGGTAAAATTAGCAATACAGTAGCTAAAATGTAAAATTAGCAACAAAGTAGCTAAAAGGTAACATTAAGAACACAGTAGCTGAAAGGTAACATTAGCAACAAAGTAGCTAAAAGGTAACATTAGCAACA